AAAACTAGCATTCTTGTACACAATGACTCTTTGGTCCTCAGGGTAGTAAAAGTAGTATCCCTTAGTTTCTCTGGGATAACCTATAAAGTAGCACAACGTGCTCCTAGCTCCTAACTTTTCAGGTGCTAGGGTCTTGACATAAGCTGGACAACCCCATACCTTGAGATAACTCAAGTTGGGTTTTCGGCCCCTCTATATCTGATACGGAGTAGTCAGAACAGATTTCGACGGAACCCTATTTAGTAGGTGTAGCGCTGTATGCAGAGCGAATCCCCAAAACGATTTTGGGAGCTTCGTACTACTCATCATCGACCGTACCATGTCTAACAAGGTTCGGTTCTTCCTCTCTAACACACCATTTTGATGTGGTGTGTAAAGAGCCGTCAACTGTGAGAGAATCCCATTCTCTCTTAGATAATCCTGAAACTCCTGACTCAGATATTCGCCACCCCGATCAGATCGAAGTGTCTTAATCATCTTGCCAAGTTGTTTCTCTACTTCATTCCTAAACTCTTTGAAATTTTCAAAGGCCTCGGATTTGTGTCTCATAAGATAGACATATCTGTATCTGGACTTATCATCAGTAAAGGTAATGAAGTAGGAGTATCCTCTCGCCTGAGTAGATAAAGGCCCACAAACATCAGAATGAATGAGTTCTAGTAACTATTAGCTCTTTGACTCGCAAGTTTCTCAACCTTGGTTTTCGTCATTTTACCAGCCAAACAAGACTCACAAAGCCCATAGGATTCAAAATCCATGGAATCTAGATAACCATCATGATGGAGTCTAGACAGTCTTGTCTCATTAATGTGTCCCAATCTACAATGCCAAAGGTAGGATCGATTACCTAATCTTGGCTTCTTAGTTTGAATACTAAAAATGTCACTATCTTGATTTAAATCCAAAACATACAAGATCATTCTTAATGATGGAAAACTTTCCATCCTTTATTATAAAGTGAAAACCAGATTGTTCCAAACTAGAAATAGAAATAAATTTTCGGAAAATAGACGGAACATAGAAACAATTATTCAAATGTAAAGAAATAGGCAACATAAGATCCACATCCCCAACAGAAAGAGCAGTAACTCTTGCTCCATTCCCGACGCGGAGATTGATCTCATTCTTCTCCAGCTTCCTAGGACTCTTTAGTACCTGCAACAAATTGCAGATGTGAGATCCACAGCCAGTATCCAATACCCATGAAGCTGAATCAACACTTGAAAAATTAATTTCTATAGTGAACATACCAGAGGTGGAAGCATCACCATGCTTCTTTTCCTTGAGGCTCACAAGGTACAATGGGCAGTTCCTCTTCCAATGTCCTTCCTTCTGACAATTGAAGCATACAACATTAGCCTTGTCCTTAGACTTCCCTTTTCCTTTACCCTTGTCTTTGCCCTTCTTCTTTTTGGGCTTGCTCTTGGGCTTGAGCTTGTCTGTCTCTACAGACTTGCCCTTACCCTTAGCCTTTTTAGAACCACCAATCAGAAGAGCTTGGTTATGTTCTTCTTAACAGCACCCTCAGCAGTGGTCAGGAGATTCAACAACTCTGGGAGTGTTGTCTCCACCTTATTCATATGGTAGTTGACCACAAAACCATTAAATGAAGACGGCAAGGACTGCAGGACTAAGTCAATACTTAGCTCATGGTCCATGATAAAACCCAGAGAAGCAAGTTTCTCTATCAGCCCAATCATCTTGAGGACGTGCGGTCCAACCGCAGTGCCCTCAATCATTTTGCAGCAAAACAGCTCCTTGGAGGCTTCAAAACGCTCAGCCCTCCCTTGCTTATCATAAAGCTCCTGCAAATGCAAGATAATGGAGGGAGCATTCATATGCTCATGCTGACGCTGAAGCTCCGCAGACATAGACGCAAGCAATATACATACTGCCTGTTCATTGTCCGCCAAATGCTGTCTATGAGCTTCCCAGTCATACTGGTCATGCCCATCTTGCCCTTCAGCAGGGGCAACAGGAACAGGAGAATCCAAGACGTACGCTATCTTTTCAGAACGTAAAACAGTTTTTACATTCCTATACCAATCCGTGGAGTTTGGACCAGTTAACTTATTAGCATCCAGAATAGAGCGTAAACTAAAATTTCCGGCCATAACTCAATTGCTGAAAATAAAGATAAACATACATAAGTATTTCATGATTAATAACCAAATACGGAGACTTTTAAACGTATATGGTTCTCCCACTATTTTTCTAAAATCAATGACCCTCGGTGATTGATTTAGGGTTATCCTTCACAAAGACATCCGTAGCGGGCTAAGAGAACGGCTAAATTCATTAGTTTCCGGCTGAGCCTGCAAAAGTAACTTATCTAGTGGGTTGATCTAATCAACAACATCTCTATGTCTTCTCTTAGATCATCAGGTTGACAACTCTTTGTCACTTAGTGTCACATCACTATGTAACAACCTGGCATCATTGCCCTAAATGCACAGACCTGGCTGAGCCTGCAGACTACACATTTGGTCTAGCACAAACCATCACCCTAAGTGTCGTACACTTCGAATGGCATCGTTCCCAATGAAATGACAGGTCTTAGCTGAGCTAGAGAGCACTACCATGTAGAAGGGCTATGAGTGCCACCGATGATGGGAGGCAATCTAATGCGCTAGATAATATTACGTGAGGGTTCATTTTCGGTCTCATCGTTAATTGTTCGTTTTATATTGCACGCAAAATTAGATATACAAAACTAATTATCACATAGTTCAGTTTTAGCGGCTTTTCTAATCATGCATACTAGTCGTAGGGTTATCGCGTCTAATATTAACATGCATACTAGTCGCAATACGATATTTGAAATTCAAAATAAAACATTTAAATTTTGAAAATCAAACACGTGGTGGATGATCATGGTGCCTTCCGATTTTTCCATCCAAAGCATCTTCAAGCCTCGGATCAAAATCTTCATCAATGTCGTTCGGGTACATCAACATGGCCGAACCACCTCCTTTGGTCTCTCCATGGTCCAACAAGCTTTGGCACTTTTTCGATTAAAATTTACATCCAAAAATTAAAAGACGCAAAATTTAAATCGGGACAAATACAATCCCATTTAACCAAAAATTAAATCGGGACAAATACAATCCCATTTAACCAAAAGAATTTAAAATAAAATTTAAATCATACATTCAAAGCACCATGACCATCCAATGTTAAAAGTACCTACAAGAAAAGTTAGATCCAAACAAACAATTTTGGGAACCCTAATCATGAATCACCTACATCAAAACACATCAACACTTGATGATTAATTCATAAATATGATCAAGATTCAATCGTTAACATGCATAGGGGCTGCCTTGTTATGTGAAAGCATCGGCTAGGGCTTAGTGGCCTTTGACTATCAAAGTTTTCAGCCTTCCTTAGTCATACTAGGGTTTGGCTGCCACCCTATGGTCCTCTCAATCATGGCCGCTACCCTTATCCCCACAAGGTGATACCTTTCCCCTTAAAGGTCGAACCTTTATGCATGACAAGAGACTATGCTTTCAAAAAATATCATTTTAAGAATCAAAACTTGAATCAATGTAGGTTTCAAAACCAATTTCGAAAATTCAATGAAAAATAAACCCCACGCGTCTTACAGTAACGAGGCAGGCTCTGATACCACGTGAAAGTCAAAATTGGCAGCACAAAGGTCCCACCTTAATGCGCCTACATGAGGGTAAAAACAAAAAAATGGTCTTTTATGCGAAAGCATAGACAATCTATGCGCCTCATGTTTTAGGATCTGCCCGTTAAACATGTAGGGTTTAAAATTCATACCTTTTTCACTTAAAGGTGTCAAAGTGGATGACTCCCTCTAACAGTAATCCACACGGCTACCTCTTGGTTGCTTCTGAGAAACGCTTTCTCCCTGAACCCTCCCTTTCCTTGGAAGCTCGCTAGGCTGCGGCAAGGTGGAGGCTTTCAAGTGTTTTTATTTATTTTTCTCAAGATTGTAATGTTGTCTTGAGGTTAGGTGAGAGGACCAATAATGGAGGAAGAGAGATAAAGAGAAAGAGGGGCGGCCAAAAATTAGGATTTTAGTCCAGAGAGGCGCTGTATATCTTGATCTGAAGAAAAAGATGTTACTTTACCGTGGTTCAGCAAATCCCTTAATCAACATTAAGAGATGGACGTTACATTAACGTTTCCTCATCAAATCCCTTAATCAGGATTAAGCGATGGACGTTACATTAACGTTTCCTCATCAAATCCCTTAATCAACATTAAGAGACAAACGTTACATTAAATATAATTTTATTTAAATTCATAATTCAAATAAAATAGAAATAATAAATCTCTATCTAATCATATTATATACAGATAAGGATAATTCAAAACTATCCTTAATTACCTAACCTCTTGAATTTAAATAAAATTAAATTCGATTTTATCCTAGCCCGCAATTTAAATTTGAATTCAAATTCGAAATTCAAAAATTCAAATTTCAAATTCAAATTTCGAATTGCGCCAAAAACTTATTTTGGCCAAGTCAACTATTTGACTTGCTAGGATTCATGGCCCAATACCGTATTGGGCCTACTAACATATTTGGGCTTATTAATAGAAAATTAATCTTTCACTAATAGTCCTAAGGCGCATGATGATATTGGACTTGGAGTTCAACTCCAACCCAATTACACCTATAGTCTTGAAAAACCCAATAACACTTATTGGTCCAAACTTTCTAAATGTGAGCAATCAAGAATAACCTTAGTGTGTGACCCATTAGGCTCAATTAGTCACTGACATGAATAAACTTGAACCAATTAAACTCCTTTAACCGGCCCAATTTATCTAATGACCACATAAGACACTAGCAATGCTCTGCAGCCCCAGAACTAATTGAGTTGATCAAGTGATCTACCTTTCTAATTTGGATACCGTGTCGGCATCATCCCTCACAACGTCATTCACATTTAGTCGAGAGCAAGGATAGAGTATCATCTCTCTTTATTGACTAAATATAATATTTCACAGGAACTAGGAATCTTCTTCCATTGACTCTAAGATAGATCATGACTCTTCATGATCTCTTACTATGCATAGATTTTCGCGTCAACTAGAAGTCATCCAAGCCCTACCGGTCTTGTGAACGACTAATCCCTTATAGGGGATTGTGAAGTCCTTTCGGCATGTTCATCTATACTCATGTATTCGAGTCATACCCAAGAGTACACTATTCTCCCCATTTTTCAGGCGGATAAAGTTGTACAGTCAAAGTATAACTCTAGGACATAGTATTCGATGACATCCTTAAGTCTAGGACGATCTGCACTACCAAACGATGAGAGACTTTACAAATCCAATGATACTCTCTATAATGAATCCTTGTGGAGTCTCTCGGTGGGTCAGTTCAGTGCTATATGTTCTCTAACAGATCCACCCACGACATCACCTAAAGCATCACCATTCCTGCATTCCATGAGGTTCCTACCTCATTTCTTTATACAACTAAATGACGTCGTACTAGTCTTATTGAGATCACCAATACCCTTTCTTGGTGATTCAAGACCAGGAACAGATTTTAGATAATAGACATACAGTGTCCTCAAGTACTCATGATCATGATCCATATCATAGACCCCCGAGTGAACACCTGTTCTATTCATAGGGTCTTTATCTTTATTCACATATTAACAATAAAATATTGGTGAGACATAAATATAATAAAGATAAAGTTTGCTCAAATTTATAAATAATGAAATACCACTTCGAAAAAGGTGTTCATCTGATAAAACATATTGTCTCTTGGACACCTATATACTAACACATGCCTCACTTTGCCAAATTCATGAAGGATCTTCTGTCTAAGAGAAGAGTGTAGTGCCCTGATCCAAAAGAAGCTTCCTCCAAAGTTAAAAGACCCAGGGAGTTTCAGCATTCCTATTGCCATTGGAGATGTGGAAGTAGGGAAGGCACTTTGTGATTTGGGGGCTAGCATAAATATTATGCCATTGTCTGTATGTAGAGCTTTGGGAATCAATAAATTGAAGGATACCAATCTTATTCTGCATCTAGCATATAGATACATCAAAACACCAGAAGGTGTGGTAGAAGATGTTCTGGTCAAGGTGGATAAGTTCATTTTTCCTGTGGTTTTTGTGATTCTTGATATGGAAGAAGAAGATACTGAAAGCCCTCTACTTCTAGGGAGGCTATTCTTAGCAACTGCTAGATCCCTGATTGATGTTGAATAAGGGAAGCTGATGTTAAGGGTGAATGAAGAGACCGTTACGATTGATGTGTTTGAAGCCATTAAACATCCTGTTGATGTGGAGGATTGTTTCAGAATTGATATCATACAGGAGGTTGTGGAAGAAGTGACAGGAGAAGCAGACTTGTCATTTGAGGAAGATAAATTAAAGGATGAGATAAGTGGGGAATTTTATCAGGAGGAACCGGTGGTTCAAGAGTAGGAAAAGAAAGTGGATGACATTCCAAAGGGAGCACCTAAGGTGGAATTGAAAGAACTACCTTCAAAACTAAAGTATGTATTCCTTGGGGATGATCAAACCTACCCAGCCATTATCAATGCATTGTTGTCTGAAAGGGAGGAAGTGAAGTTGGTTGAAGTGCTCAAGAAGAATAAGACAGCCATGGGCTGGTCATTTTCAGATCTTAAGGGTATCAACCCTTCATTCTGCACTCATAAGATATTGATGGAAGAAGAAGTCAAACCAGTGAGACAACCACAGAGAAGACTAAATCCCACTATGAAGAAAGTAGTGAGGAAGGAGGTGGTGAAGTTGCTTGATGCTGGGATGATTTACCCTATTTCAGACAGTGCTTGGGTGAGTCCAGTTCAGACAGTGCCCAAGAAAGGAGGGATGACTGTTGTGAGGAATGATGACAATGAACTGATCCCTACAAGAACAGTCACTGGCTAGAGGATGTGTATTGACTACCGGAGACTCAACAAAGCAACAAGGAAGGACCATTTCCCTATTCCATTCCTGGACCAAATGCTGGAGAGATTAGCAGGACATGCCTTCTACTGCTTCTTAGACGGATACTAAGGCTACAACCAGATAGTTGTGGCTCCGGAAGATCAAGAGAAGACTGCATTTACTTGCCCCTATGGAATCTTTGCATACCGGAGGATGCCTTTTGGCCTATGCAATGCACCAACAACTTTTCAAAGGTGCATGCTTTCCATATTCTCTGACATGGTAGAAAGATGCATTGAAATTTTCATGGATGATTTTTCTGTGTTTGGTCCTACTTTTGATGCATGTTTAGAAAACCTGGATAATGTTTTGAAAAGATGCCAAGATAGCAATCTTGTGCTTAACTGGGAGAAATGTCACTTCATGGTGACAGAGGGTATTGTTTTGGGACACAAAGTGTCCAACAGAGGGATTGAAGTAGATAAGGTCAAGATCTCTGTTATTGAGAAACTACCCCATCCCATAAATGTTAAAAGTGTGAGGAGTTTTCTAGGACATGCTGGATTTTACCGTCGTTTCATAAAAGACTTTTCAAAAATTGAAAAACCATTATGCAAGCTGTTAGGGAAGCATCAAGAATTTCTGTTTACTGATGACTGTTTGCATGCATTTAATGTGTTGAAAGACAAGTTGATCATTGCACCAATAATCATGGCACCTGATTTTTCATTACCTTTTGAACTTATGTGTGATGCCAGTGATTATGCTGTGGGGGTAGTGCTAGGCCAAAGGAAGGATAAATTATTGCATGTCATTTACTATGCCAGTAAAATTCTTAATGAGTCACAAAAGAATTATGCTACTACAGAAAAAGAGTTATTGGCAATAGTGTATGCATTTGACAAGTTCAGGTCATATTTGCTAGGGTCCAAGGTTATTGTTTACACTGACCATGCAACTTTGAAGTATTTGTCAACAAAGCAGGATGCTAAGCCCAGGTTACTCCGATGGATGTTACTTCTGCAAGAGTTTGAAGTGGAGATTAAAGACAAAAAGGGAGTTGAGAACTTGGTGGCTGATCACTTATCCAGGATCACAGAGACACATCTGCAAGAGGGTCCGGAAGTGGTAATTAAGGAGGAGTTTCCTGATGAGGAAATACTGGCCATAAGCATTGTTTCCCAGTTGGTGCATGATCAAGTCTTGTCTGTCAACACCCCACCACGGTTTGCTGATTTTGCTAACTACAGAGCTGCTGGAGCCATGCCAAAGGGTTTCACTTACCAACAGAGGAAGAAATTTCTGCATGATGTGAGGAGATACATCTGGGATGAACCATACCTCTTTTATAGTTGTTCAGATGGAGTAATCAGAAGATGCATTCCAGAAGAGGAGCAAAAGAGTGTCTTATGGCACTGTCATGGTTCAGCCTATAGTGGCCACTTTGCAGGTGAGAGAACAATAGCTAAAGTTTTGATGAGTGGTTTTTACTGGCCCACATTGTACAAGGATGCTAGGAAGTATGTGGAAGCATGTGACAACTGCCAGAGGACTGGGAACATCTCCAGGAGACATGAAATGCCTTTGAATAATATATTGGAGGTGGAGATCTTTGACGTTTGGGGTATGGATTTCATGGGACCTTTTCCGTCTTCCTACTCTAATAAGTATATCCTGGTGGCAGTTGATTATGTGTCAAAATGGGTTGAAGCAATAGCCACACATACCAATGATGCTCGGGTTGTGATTGCATTCCTCAAGAAGAACATCTTTGTGAGATTTGGAATGCCAAGAGCCATAATCAGTGATGGGGGAACTCATTTTGATAATCAGTTTGTTGAGGCTGTTCTTGCAAAGTATGGAGTCAGGCACAAAATAAGTACTCCATATCACCCATTTCTGTTTACTAATAACTCCTTGCATGCATTCAATGTTTTGAAAGATAAGTTGATCACTGCACCAATAATCATGGCACCTGATTTCATTACCTTTTGAACTTATGTGTGATGCCAGTGATTATGCTGTAGGGGTAGTGCTAGGCCAAAGGAAGGATAAATTATTGCATGTCATTTACTATGCCAGTAAAATTCTTAATGAGGCACAAAAGAATTATGCTACTACAGAAAAAGAGTTATTGGCAATAGTGTATGCATTTGACAAGTTCAGGTCATATTTGCTAGGGTCCAAGGTTATTGTTTACACTGACCATGCAACTTTGAAGTATTTGTCAACAAAGCAGGATGCTAAGCCCAGGTTACTCCGATGGATGTTACTTCTGCAAGAGTTTGAAGTGGAGATTAAAGACAAAAAGGGAGTTAAGAACTTGGTGGCGGATCACAAATCCAGGATCACAGAGACACATCTGCAAGAGGGTCCGGAAGTGGTGATTAAGGAGGAGTTTCCTGATGAGGAAATACTGGCCATAAGCACTGTTTCCCAGTTGGTGCATGATCAAGTCTTGTCTGTCAACACCCCACCATGGTTTGCTGATTTTGCTTACTATAGAGCTGCTGGAGCCATGCCAAAGGGTTTCACTTACCAACAGAGGAAGAAATTTCTGCATGATGTGAGGAGATATATTTGGGATGAACCATACCTCTTTTATAGTTGTTCAGATGGAGTAATCAGAAGATGCATTCTAGAAGAGGAGCAAAAGAGTGTCTTATGGCACTGTCATGGTTCAGCCTATGGTGGCCACTTTGCAGGTGAGAAAACAACAGCTAAAGTTTTGATGAGTGGTTTTTACTGGCCCACATTGTACAAGGATGCTAGGAAGTATGTGGAAGCATGTGACAACTGCCAGAGGACTGGGAACATCTCCAGGAGACATGAAATGCCTTTGAATAATATATTGGAGGTGGAGATCTTTGACGTTTGGGGTATGGATTTCATGGGACCTTTTCCGTCTTCCTACTCTAATAAGTATATCCTGGTGGCAGTTGATTATGTGTCAAAATGGGTTGAAGCAATAGCCACACATACCAATGATGCTCGGGTTGTGATTGCATTCTTGAAAAAGAACATCTTTGTGAGATTTGGAGTGCCAAGAGCCATAATCAGTGATGGGGGAACTCATTTTGATAATCAGTTTGTTGAGGTTGTTCTTGCAAAGTATGGAGTCAGGCACAAAATAAGTACTTCATATCATCCATTTCTGTTTACTAATAACTCCTTGCATGCATTCAATGTTTTGAAAGATAAGTTGATCACTGCACCAATAATCATGGCACCTGATTTTTCATTACCTTTTGAACTTATGTGTGATGCCAGTGATTATGCTGTGGGGGTAGTGCTAGGCCAAAGGAAGGATAAATTATTGCATGTCATTTACTATGCCAGTAAAATTCTTAATGAGGCACAAAAGAATTATGCTACTACAGAAAAAGAGTTATTGGCAATAGTGTATGCATTTGACAAGTTCAGGTCATATCTGCTAGGGTCTAAGGTTATTGTTTACACTGACCATGCAACTTTGAAGTATTTGTCAACAAAGCAGGATGCTAAGCCCAAGTTACTCCGATGGATGTTACTTCTGCAAGAGTTTGAAGTGGAGATTAAAGACAAAAAGGGAGTTGAGAACTTGGTGGCTGATCACTTATCCAGGATCACAGAGACACATCTGCAAGAGGGTCCGGAAGTGGTAATTAAGGAGGAGTTTCCTGATGAGGAAATACTGGCCATAAGCATTGTTTCCCAGTTGGTGCATGATCAAGTCTTGTCTGTCAACACCCCACCACGGTTTGCTGATTTTGCTAACTACAGAGCTGCTGGAGCCATGCCAAAGGGTTTCACTTACCAACAGAGGAAGAAATTTCTGCATGATGTGAGGAGATACATCTGGGATGAACCATACCTCTTTTATAGTTGTTCAGATGGAGTAATCAGAAGATGCATTCCAGAAGAGGAGCAAAAGAGTGTCTTATGGCACTGTCATGGTTCAGCCTATAGTGGCCACTTTGCAGGTGAGAGAACAATAGCTAAAGTTTTGATGAGTGGTTTTTACTGGCCCACATTGTACAAGGATGCTAGGAAGTATGTGGAAGCATGTGACAACTGCCAGAGGACTGGGAACATCTCCAGGAGACATGAAATGCCTTTGAATAATATATTGGAGGTGGAGATCTTTGACGTTTGGGGTATGGATTTCATGGGACCTTTTCCGTCTTCCTACTCTAATAAGTATATCCTGGTGGCAGTTGATTATGTGTCAAAATGGGTTGAAGCAATAGCCACACATACCAATGATGCTCGGGTTGTGATTGCATTCCTCAAGAAGAACATCTTTGTGAGATTTGGAGTGCCAAGAGCCA